GTATAAAAAATAATGAAGCTGTCGTAGACGCTCCTAAACTAAAAGACGCTAAAATAAACATAACAAAATATTGTGGCGTAGTCAACAGTCAAAAACCCCTAACTTGTGCGTTCAGATCGTGGGAACTGTGTGAATACCCATTTTTACCTCAAAACACTTCACATTCGTGGAAAGTAAAGACATCCAACAAGTTAGAAAAACCTCGATATGTTATAATCGGATTTCAAACTGCTAGAAAAAAAGCACAAGTAAAGCAATGTCATACTTCGATCATTGTAAAATTAAAAACTTGAAAGTCTATATATTTCCATATGACACCAAGAAAAGATGGCGCTGCCTGGGATAGTGATTTTAAAAATGTTAATAAAGATTTTATTGATAGTGGTAATTTTAACGGATGTATTAATCTTAAACATTTGTTTGGTTTTTGTGAAGATTATAAACGCATTTTAATAAACTGTAGCCAGCAACTCATATTAAATAGAGCTTCGATTGATATGAATGCCATCAAACAGTATAAAAATAATGAAGCTGTCGTAGACGCTCCTAAACTAAAAGACGCTAAAATAAACATAACAAAAATATTGTGGCGGATGCCTATAGTGAGAGTTAGCGATAGAGAAAAAATTCGACTGTTGAAAGTAGTCAACAGTCAAAAACCCCTAACTTGTGCGTTCAGATCGTGGGAACTGTGTGAATACCCATTTTTACCTCAAAACACTTCACATTCGTGGAAAGTAAAGACATCCAACAAGTTGGAAAAACCTCGATATGTTATAATCGGATTTCAAACTGATAGAAAAAATAGCACAAGTAAAGCAATGTCATACTTCGATCATTGTAAAATTAAAAACTTGAAAGTCTATTTAAACTCTGAAGTATTTCCATATGAAGATTTTCAAAGTGACTTTAATAAGAACAAGATGGCGACATTATACCGCGCGTATGCCGAGTTCCAAAAATCTTACTACGGTCACAACGATGTAACGCCTCTATTGAACCGATCAGAATTCAAAAATCACTCTCCAATCATAGTTGTTGACATGAGCAGACAGAACGACAACGTGAAAATGTCAACTGTTGACCTCAGAATTGAACTAGAAGCTGATGAGGCGTTTCCAGCTTCCACTTCCGCATATTGTTTAATATTACATGACCAAATTATTACTTATAATCCATTTAACGGAGAAGTAAGAACCTTGTAAATATTTATTGTAAATACTTTTTGTAAACCTTAATATTTTATTGTAAACCTTAATATTAATAAATGAAAAAACTTTTTTTTATATATCACGTCTTTTTTTTTATTTCACATAAATTTTTTATTTCACATAAATTTTATATTTCCAAATATTAAAATAGTCTACGTTTTACTTTACGCAACGGTGCATGGGGTTCAACACAAGTTGGTTGAGATGACTGTGGTGTCTTGAATTGAGACTGTGAATGGAATTGATCGTAAAAACTTGGTCCGTCATTTTCATCGAACGACTGTTGTTGGCTATCGAGCGGCGTTGGTCCATCAATATGATCTATCGGCTGTAATAAATAAAATAAATGTAATATTGTTTTTAATTTAAAGAAAAATATTATATAAATTACCTTAGCTAGAATAGTTGTAGTGGCAACTTCCTGTTTACTTGATATAATGTTGGCTGGATAATAGTTTGGTGATATTGGTGAATAACCGTCCTGCAAGTAAAATAAAAAAAACTTGTTTAAATATATGTTTGTACATAATATTATATTTATGAATCACCTCAACTAAATCATTATCCAACGGATTAATTTCATCACATGCATCGATTTCTTGACACAATTTATATATTCCTTCCTCTACAATCGAATAGTTAGGTGAGAAATATGACGGCGTTTTGAAATTCTTATCATATACCTAAAATAAAAATAAATGTAATTTAATATTTTATATACGTAATAATATTATATTTTTAAATTACCACTTATGAGTCTTGTACTTTCCGATGAGCCATACAAAGTTCGGCCAATTGTGTAGTCGCAAACATTTTAATTTGACCGAGATTAGGTGTCTTTTTACTCTGCCTGACTTCAACGTTCCGAATGAAAATTTCCATTTCCCTCAAATTGTTGGGTGGTGAATCCGATTGCAAGCATTTTTCGCTCAAATACTCGCAATAATCACTAATTTGCTTAATAATTTCGGGTTTTATTTTTTCTTCTTTTTCTTTAATACTACCAGTAATACACCATTCTAATTCTTGGAGTTCTATTAAATCTATACGATTTAATAAAACTCTACATCCGTCTTCAGTCTTAGATTCAATTACTAGAACGTTTGAACCGCTATACACCATACTCGATATTTTATAAGAATCAGTTTCGAGAAATATGGTTCGCTTGTAGTTTTGCGGCGTGTCTAATATAAAAGATAGTACGTTACCCATAAGCGAGAATATCCGTCTTAGAAAATCTATACTAATTTTCACATAACGTGACGATGTTAATAAAATAACAACTGTTTGAAATTGTTCTGTTGGATCGATACCGACAATTATAAATTTTCTAGCTGTAAAGTCCAATGTGTAGGACATAGACTCTATTAACCCAGCCGGAGATGATGAAGGAACGTACGTAAACGGCTTCTTTTTGTAGATGGCAGCGTTGTCAGCGATTGAACCAGCCATGATATTAATAATTTTTAGAACTTATAAAAATAAACACTGAAAATTTATTTAGACTTGAAAAATAAAAACACTCACAAGAAATAAAAATGTACGTGTAGTATAGTATAAGACTCTGAACACACTGAATGAATGTCCGCTCTTGCAGGGTCAAGCGCCTGATGATTTGAGTCATTATTCGGTGGGGGGAACATTATTAGGTAGGGGTAAATTCCTCAACGACAACAGAATAACAACACCTGCCGTAAAAGGTGCAGGTGGTCAAGGCTTAAAATATACAGAGGGGTATACATGTATAATGTTGTTGAAGAATGTTAACAATAGATAGGGTATGTCCAACACATGTCTCGCTATAGAACGTTACGGCGACAGAAATTTAAGGTTTAAAATATACAAAGGGTGTAGTCTTGACCCTTGTTGAAGAATGTCATTGTTGAAGAATAGATAGGGTATGTCGGGACATGCACGTCGTTGCTTGTATAAAATATACAAAGGGGTGTAGTCACAACCCTTGTTGAAGAATTGATAGGGTATGTCGGAACACACACGTCGTTGCCTGTATAAAATATACAAAGAGGTATAGTCTCCTTGTTGAAGAATAGATAGGGTATGTCGGAACACACATGTCGTTTTATTCCTGAAGATTGTAATTGTATAAGTATATTATTCTTAAATGTGTTACAAACATGTAGCATAAGACCTTGATATTTATATATGTATCAACCAGTTATTACATTGAGATGTGTACAATAATATTCATGCAGCTATATACATTAAGAATCATATTAAAAGTAAACCGGCTCTGTAGCTTAGTTGGTTAAAGCGCCAGAATGTAAGACGGAGATCGAGAGTTCGAATCTCTCCAGGGCCTTTTTTCAATATTTATTTTTTTGAAAAATTTAGATAATAAATGCGCATGCGCGGAAATATGTGACGGGGATAATAATAATATTCATACAGCTATATACGTTAAGAATCAAAGGATTAGTATATCAGGTCTGTGGCCTAGTGGGTTAAAGCGTCGGTGCTATAGCTCGGGGGTCGAGGGTTCGAATCTCGCCAATCTTTTTTTCAATATTTATTTAATGAAAGAAAGTTTACAATAATATGCACGATAATATACACAATAATATGTACAATAATATGGTATCAAAATATGACTGTTAGATAAGAGACTATGTGTTGTACGCATGCGCTGTACATTACGTCCGTCACGTGACGGATCAGGCGGCGGCGGCATGACGAGCAAGGACGGGGTGGGGTAAAATATACGTCGCGTACGTGCGCGATCGGGCGGCGGCGATGACGAGGAGGGCGAGCAATGGCGAGGAGGGCGAGCAAGGATGTGCGGATGAGCGGATGTGTAAGGGCGAGCAAGGGCGAGCGGATGTGCAAGGGCGAGCAAGGACGAGCAAAGGCGAGCAAGGGCGAGGGGACGAGCCTTCTGAACTCTCTTTTTCATACTACTCATATAGATCATATGATGTTATTAAACAAAACACATGGGTTGATATTATTAAAGATGCATATTTAAAAGAGTACAAATTAACATGTAGCTTTATCTACAAATCTTGGAAGGTCAGAAGAGATTTGAGTAGAAGTAAATATTTCTTTACTTTTAAAGTTTAAAGATTGTAATTCTGAAATCTTTGGATGGAGTTTTTAAAAACATCTATAGGTGAGGCACTTGAACTCAGTATTTTGGCCAAAGACACTAGGCAGAATAATGAAAGCCATATTTCTAAAAGGCCATTACGTGGTACCAAAAGGGATATTGTTGGTAATATGCTTCAAAAAGATCTTGCGAGTAACTGGCGTCGTGATACTGCATCAACAAAGGAATTCGGACAAACTTCTCCAGCCAATTTATATGATAACGATGTATTACGAAAAAGTAAACAGCAGTATAATGATAAGACTCTTGGAAACGTAGTAAAAAACCCTGTTGACTCTCTGGTTGAACTTAAACACGATTCTACATTTTCTGGTTCGATACACAATATAGGCATTGATCCATTTCTAGTGCATTATTGGGCTGGACATCAACTTATAATTTATAAGGTTATTAGCAAGCAGTATGCTAAACTGTCAATAGATGCAACTGGTGGAATTGTAAAAATAATAACTCGTTCATCATTAAATTTATCATCTGCACATATTTTTTTATACGAAGCTGCAATTTAGTACAAACTATGGGCAGATTCCATTATCCCAGATGGTATCAGAAAAGCAAAATACATTAACAATATTCAACTGGCTAGGATGTTGGATTAAATGTGGTTTAAAACCTCTTACGAGGCAGTATATGATTTTTTGTTTTCCCTTTTAGAGGCAATCTCGATGGCATTCTGCAAAAATAATGACATTAAGTCATACATCGAACAATGTTTTGATGTGTTAATGGGATATAATACTAATCTACCGAATTTCTATATACGTGTTGATGTTGCACACGTCATGAAAATGTTCTGTCGAAATAAGAATTTTCAAGGAAGTAAAAACTGGACACTTAAACAGTTTTACGTTAGAAGTATGCGACTTCTTATAACATCAATACGCATAGAGGACTTTAAACAAACATTAACTAATCTATTGAATATTATGTTGAGTGAAACAGATGGCTGGACAGAGGATAAAGTAGAAACTCCCTCAGAAACGATTAGACAGTACTTATTAAACCAAATAAAAGGCGTTGAAGTAACAGAAAACTCAAATGAAGAAGCAGATGAGCAGTACAATAATTTGGAAAACAATTATAGCGATACCAATGATGTTACAACAAGCCATATAACTAGAGACCGGAATTTTATGCATTTACATGTTTATACTGAGTGTATGCACTTATACGAGGGTTTGAAATGTCAGCAAATCAGACCTAACTGATTCCATAGACCAAATTTAATTTTGCATATAATTGCATATTTGGAGGGTTGGGGAATATTTGTTCATAAATGCATAAAATGTGCATATTTATTCAGTTTTAGTAAAATAATCAAACTATTTCATGTTTTCATTTTGGAAACTGGATTTTTAAATATTGGTGAAAAAAAATAACAGTCAACACTCAACCTGATATATTATCTCGTATATAGTTCGATAAACTATTATCTGACAAATGAAATTATCTAGATTAAACATACATGTCTTAAGGTTTTAAAAAATTTAGAATTCATTTATTGGCTACACTGCATATTTGAAAAGTGTGATATTAAACTGATATTAATTCGTAACATTTCACGTATTAGTGTATCTGGTATCACACTATCACGTTTCATTTACTGTTTGGTGCCAGAGTGCTGTACTGCTGTGGTTTGGTGTTTAGTCAATTTACTAACATCTTTATTTGTATCAAAAATCAGAATGTCTAAAATAAGTAAAAATAATAAGTGCTTGGTAAACCAGTGGATTCAACAATATAATAAAGACACTATTGTATTTATGAACGATGGAAACATAGTCTATTGTCAGGTATGCGATCGACAAATACCATGTAATAAAAAATTTCAAATTACACAACACGTTCATACATCTTTTCATACTGATTCTTTGAAACGAAACTTGAATAATAAAAAACAAATGCTATTCTGAAATGTTTACAAATCTAAAATCAATAATTTTAATGAAGATCTCTGTCTGTGCTTAGTATCCGCTAATATACCGTGGTTCAAGCTTCAAGTTCCACAATTTAGAGATTTATTCCAAAAATATACGAATCAACATATACCTGACGAGAGTTTACTTCGAAAATCTTATCTCGAGCCATGCTATATTAAAACAATTGAAAACATAAGAGAAAAAATAGGGGATTCATATATTTTTTTAATTGTGGATGAAACTACAGATATTAATGGCAACTACATAGCTAACCTTTTAATAGGTGCACTAAGTAGTGAAAACTCTTTCAATCCCTTTTTAATTGCTTGTAAAAAACTAGAAAAAACGAATCATTCTACTATTTCACGCTTCGTCAATGATGGTTTAAGAATTTTGTGGCCCAGTGGTGGTAATGACGAAAAAGTTTTACTGTTGTTATCAGATGCAGCACCATATATGATTAAGGCAGGTAAGACATTAAATTAATTTTTTCCCAACATGATACATGTCACATGCCTAGCACACATGACTCAAAGAATTGCGGAAAAAGTCAGAGAATTATTTCCAAATGTTAATACACTGGTAAATAATTAAAAAAAAGTCTTCTTAAAAGCTCCTCATCGTGTAGAAATATACAAGGATGCCATGCCAAATGTACCCTTACCACCAGAACCTATACTCACTAGGTGGGATACTTGGTTGGAAGCAGCCATCTTTTGTGCTGATCATTTTGACAAGCTAAAGATAATTATCATAGAAAAATTTCAAGATAAAAATGTGGTCAGTATACAAAAATGTGAAAATATGCTTAAGTTAGAGTCTGTTAAAAATGATCTTACATATATAAAAACTAATTTTTTATACTTGTTAAAAGCATTAAAAAATTAGAATCATCTAAATAATATTGTTTGATGCAACAAAAATTGTTGATGAAACTATATTGAATATGGAAATCGTATCTGGAAATAATGGAAAAATTATTAAAGAAAAAGTTTTGGATTTACTACATAAAAATGATAGATTTAAAATATTGAAGCAGATATCAGTTGTTTTATCAGGAAGAGAAGGAAGTGTCTTACCCCCAAATTTTACACCAATGATGAGTTCTTGTATGAAATTTGCGCTTATAACTTCTGTGGACGTTGAACGATCCTTTAGTACATACAAAATGATATTAACTGAAAAAAGAACAAATATGACCCCTCAAAATATGGAAAAGTATATTGTAATTAATTGCTATGAAAACAAAAAATAATGGTGTTTTTTTTAATTTAAATATTTTGTTACTATTTAGATGTTGAAAGGTCCAACACTTCTATATAATTTTGTTATGTTTTCTTTCTTTAAATTGTTTTAAAAACATATTATAATGATGTTTTTTAATATTTTGTTTATTAACTTTTTAGATTATACCTATATAAATATATAATTTTGTTATGTTTTGTTACTTTTTAGATGTTTAAAAGTCCAACACCTCTATATAATTTTGTTATATTTTATTTCTTTAAATTGTTTTAAAAACATATTATAATGATATTTTTATTATTTTGTTTGTTAACTATTAAGATGTTGAAAGGTCCAACACTTTTATATAAATATATAATTTTGTTATGTTTTCTTTCTTCAAATTATTTTAAAAAGCATATTATGATGATGTCATTTTTATATTTAAATATTTTGTTGATTATATACAGGTATAAAGTAATATACATTTATGATGCATATTTGAGCATATTTTTCAATTATTTCTGCATATTAATGCATATTTTGACCCTTTTGCTTTGCATATTTGCATCATATTTGCCACATTTCTAGTGCATATAATTCCAGTCTCTACATATAACCAAATTTATAAACGATATTGTAAGTGTATGTAAGGAGAATTCGAAAATTATAGGTGATCGTTTATTGGCTCATTATCTTCCAGATCTGTCACGAGATATTATACGCTATTCTAAATATTCTACATTATGAAGCAACGTAATGCAACCCCCTTTTAGATCCCCTCACAAAACGCTTCATCAGCTCCAGTTGAATCCGATTTTTCTGAACTAAAAAATAAAATATTGCGCTTCAATAGCCAACCTATGACAGCTGACCGATTTATCGAAAAACATTTAATTAATATTGAAAACAATTGCAAATTGTTCAGAAGTGAACGAATAAAAATTGATCTTGAAGAATTTAAAATATTGGGCACCAACACTGAGGATAAAATAAACATACAGTTGAAAGAAGTTAAAGTTGAAAGTTACAAATCCAAATCTGAAGTTTTTAACGATTTTGACACTTATGTAAACAAAAATTCAATTTTAAATAATGGAACTGACAAAACATATAACAAAAAAAAAAAAATAACGAGATTGATAATTCCGAAACTGGTTCTGAATATAGTATAACTGAAGCCATTAACAATTACTTAGGTAATGCATTTGGAGACTCAAATGTATGTAAGGATAATGATACAAGAATAAACAATAGGGTACAGAAAGAAATTCACCATTTTTTAACAGAATCTGATGATGAACTATGTGATAAGCTTGATAAATTTGATTATAATGCAATGAAAGTAGTAGAAAATTGGAAAGGCCGTGGAGAAAATGAAGATATTGAGCCAATTCATAAAGTCGGAACAACTAAAAAAAGAAAAAGGAAGAGAAAAAAAGAATGACTAAATATATGAGCCTTACTCCAGAAATCGAAATGATTTTGAATAAAAGAACAAGATCACAGTCTAACTCACTTCTTTTGAATGATAATATGACCACGTGTTTACGAGTCTCAAACAATAACACATGCCTTTTTGATGCATTAGCAGTAGTAATCACTATGGCTTATATTGATTACCCTCTATATTGAGATTTTGTGGATTCTAACAGAAATATTTTTTAACATTTTGTAAACATTTAGCTATAAACGGAACATCTAAACAAATTTACATTGAACGTTTGCAAATATTAAAAGACATCTTTACAGAAGTTGATGGAGTAACAGAACTTAAACTAATAGATGTAAGGTGTAATGTTTTATATATAGTAACTAAACTATGTGTTAATGCTCCATCAACTATTGAATATGTTCATTGTTCAAATAATAACTGTCCATACTTCAATATTGAAAGAAATAGAGCTACAATTATAGTTCGTTTAGAAAATGACATACAAAGTCTCGAGGATTTATTACTAAACTATACATTGACAAAGAACACTAATTGCGTTGAAAATGATTGTAATGGATATGTCGAAACTACTAGAATTTTTCAAGAGCTTATTTTTGTGGGAACTGATTTTCTTGGAGATAATGAACAAATTTCATTAATATCCCACCAATACTTCTGATTGATAATACAAGGTAAGTAAGACGAAGGACTAAAACTGTTATGATTTAATACCTAATTATTATAAATATATTTGGTTATATTATTATATTTGAATTATATTTTTAGATATAAATTCTATTGCATATGTTAATATATGGTAATGATCACTATGTGTCTTACATAAAAACAGGAGAAACTTGGGAAAATCATAATGATCTTCAAAGGAAAATCAATAAATTCACCGAGGCCAAAAACAAGTTTGTTAAACCACATATGTTGATTTACATACAACATGATTAATATTAAAGTAGCTTTTTGTAAAGTTATAAAAGTGTTATCATATTCAAATTGTCAATAGTTAGCATTTATTATTTTTAATATTTTAAACAGACTTTTAAACAAAATTATTTTATATTATATAAATTAAGTACAATAGATTCTCAACATATTGTACATAATTCAAACTTCGATAAGAATCATACACAGTTGAGTTAAGTTTTCTTGTTAAGTACCCATAAAAAAACTAAATTGAAGTTTTTTTTTTATTAAATTTATTTTTAAATCAAATAAATTTTAAAATTGAAATTAAGATTATTGTGTGTAACCCATATACATTTTACAGCAGTGAAACAAATCGTACAAAAGAAATGAATTATACAGGTAATTTCTAACTTTCAAACCTCTACAAAAGACATTTCAATCAGAAAAAACAAAAATTTACCAAAATATAGTAAGTACACATCCTAGCAAAAAAAAAATGTTGCAAATTGTTGCAATTAATTTGCAAAAATATGGTACTAGTTTGGGGACGATACGAAAAAGCCGGGTGCAACAATTTGGCACCGCGAACGAATTTTATTTTTCCTGGCGTAAAAAAATTGTTGCAAATTTTTTTCCGGTGTTGAAAATTGTTGCAAATTATTTGTAAAAATATGGTATAAGTTTGGGGATGATAGGATAAATTCGGGTGCCAACGTGAACTTGGCACCCCGAAACATGTTGCATTGTGGGGGTTGTAAAACATTTTATAAATTTTTAAATTTTAAATTTGATACCTACATTTTGTCAACAATTGAACTTTAAATGCAAATAAAGAAAATTGTGCATATGTATTTTTAATATTTTTCAAATGTTATTGTAACAATATATTAGGAGCCTTTTATTAATTTTTTAAGCTTTTTGACCCACCAAATAAAATTTTATATTCGTTTATAGAAAAAAATAAATACAAATATTGGAAACTGAATATGAACGTTATTAGCTGAAACCAATAAAAAATGTTCTGTGTTATCAGTACGCGCGTGAGAAGTGAAACTTCTTTTGAACTTTACACGTGAGTTAATATTAATTAATTTAAAAAATGAGAGGAAGTTATCCGGAATTATTTATTATTGATGCTTTTATTATTTTTTATTTTTATTCGACAGATCGATGGATGATAGTTTGTAGCATTGTTTTTATCCAGGTAAAAGGTTTGTGAGTGAATTACAATTAATTAAATATACTAGATGCTAACTGATATTGGTCTCAGAGTATAGATGCTATCATAATCGATCATTAATTATTCATATTAATTAGTATTTGCCAAGATAGATGAATCTGTTTTTTATTTTGCAACGTTTATATAATATTTATTCCGCAGCAAAAAAAGTCACTGAACTAACGCGGCTCACGACCACCACTTGCAACGCTTGTACCTCTTAATTTTTTTTTATTTGATATTATTAATAAATTCACTCACAAATCTTTTTTCTGGATAAAAACAATACTACAAACGGTTATCTATCGATCTGCTGGCTAACTTACTTTCATTTTTTGGATTAATTAATAATAACGAACTGCGAACTAACAAACATTTTGAACGTCAGTACAATATTCTACAAATGTATTACAAACTATTCATTACACACACTATTATTATTTAAATCGTTTCCGGCTAATCACATGGTAATAAATCAAACCAAATGTCCCAATCTCGACCAAATGTCAACAAACGCCGGCATGTGTATTTATTTGCATAGGTCACAATAACATATGTGTATGGTATATACATATATATTTATACTGCAGTACGAGGAGCATGGTATATACGCGTGTTGTGGTATCTTAACCCAACGTGTTATAGGAGTCGAAGAAGTAGCAATACTAAATTATGATAATTGAATCCGCTGTTCAGAGAGACGCTGTTTAGATAGCTAGTCCACCGTCGTTTGATAACGATTATAATACGATTATTGTAAGGGATGATTTAAAATGCGTGGCTTGTATTTGGAGTCCATTAGTGGCACAAGATATCAAAATATACAAATGCGATATACGTGATCATAGTAATAATATTATATAGAATTCGTAGGTACTGGTCGAAACATTGGTGAGTTGTAATGCGAGTCTAAAATGTCGAATGCACACTTGGTATATGCAATATAATATTATATACTATACAGGGTATTATAATCTGGGCACTCAAGCGAACAAATTTTTGGTGTACGATAATTTTTTAAATACTTTATGATAATATTAGTTTGAGAGTCTGGCAACACTGGCGCCGCCCGTTCGCTTTTTTTCCTCACTACCCTGCGTAAAGAAGTTTAACTTCAAAAATATTTTGAAAATTTATCGTGTATAGACAATGTTAATATAAACATAAAGTGAAAATTTCTACGGTACCTAATTTGTTTTAGAGTTACACCAAAAATCAAAATCGATTTAGTTGAAAACCGATTTTGCGTATAATTCCTGTTTTTATTTAATTTTTTAATTGTTTTTTTCTGGCTCTGTTGAAAATACACATCATTGTAAAATCAATATATTTATCTCTCCGCTCAGAATCTAATATATTCTATTATATAGCCTATATTTTAGGATTTTGTAATGTGTGTAGAATAGTATAGGTATACGGTATACCTATATAATAGTAGAATACTAAAATAATTTTC